TTTTTTTTTTTTTTTTAATGTGGTACCAAGGATCAAACCCAGTGCCTCATGCATGCTAGGCGAGCACTCTACCACTGAGCCACCACCCCAGCCCCAAGTCATAAGAGTTCTTTTAAATTTTTTTTTATTTTTAAAATTCTTTTTTAGTCATACATGACAGCAGAATGTATTTTGACATATAATACATACATGGAAGAGTTCTTTATTTATTTAGGTACTAGTCCCTTCTCAGATACATGATTTGCAAATATTTTCTCTTATTCTGTGTATTGTCTTTCCTTGATGGTATTCTTTGAAGCACTATAATTTTAAATTTTGATTAAGTTCAACTTGTTTATTTTTTCTTTGATTGCTTGTGTTTTGGTGTTTGGTTTCTAAGAAACCATTGCTTAAAACAAGTCACAAAGATTAACACCTATGCTTCCTTTGAAGAGTTTTAGCTTTCACATTAAGATCTTTGATCCATTTTGAATTAATTTTTTATGTATAAAGTCTGAGTCCAGATTCATTCCTTGGAGTTTGAATATTGATTTATCCTAGTATGATTTGTTGAAAGGACTGTTCTTTCCACATTGATATGTTTTGATATTGCTATTGAAAATAATTGGCTGTGAATTTAAGGGTTTATTTCTGTACTCTAATTTCTGTTCCTTTGGTCTATGTATTACATAGTTATGTTATTATATTGTCTTTTAAAATTTTTCTGACATCATCTTAATTATTATAGTTTTGTAATACATTTTTGGAGTAGGGAAGTATGAGTCTGCCAATATTATTTTTCTTTATCAGTATTATTTTGGATGTTTGGGGTTTCTTGCATTGCTAAATGAATTTTATGATCAGCTGGTCCATTTCTGCAAAAAAAAGGATGTTGGAGTTTTCATAGGGATTGCTTTAAATCTGTAAATCACTTTGGGAAGTATTGCTGTCTTTGACATAAAGTCTTCCAGTCCACAGAGAGAGGGTATTATTCCATTATTTAGATCTCAGTTTCTTTCAACAATGCTTTGTAGTTTTCAATGTGAGCTTCTTTTGTTGAATTTAGTTCTAATATCTTATTATTTTGGATGCTACTGAAAATAAAGTGCTTTTTTAAACTTGCATGTTCAGCTTGTGGAATCCAGCGTATTCACCAGGTAAAACCTAAGCTGGATGAAATGAGGGAAGGAACATCTGAATCTGAGTCATTCAACTTCTTTCTTTGCCTTTCCAGCTGCTATTTCTCATCCTTGAAAGATCTGAGGCATTTCTGTTGCACTCCAGTTTGAAAATCTTTGCATCTCACTATGATGCTTTTCTTCATCACTTGGTGATAATGTTTGAAAGTTGCCAGAAAAATGTTTTTGGATGTCTTCTGTTTGGTGTTACTCTGGCAGCCCATTTTGTGAAAAGGATATTAATAGAGTTGAACACATGCATTTGAACCTATATTCATAATCAATAATAATTGTCAAAAATGCAGGTTTATGGACTTAATTTTTTTTTTTTTTGTCTTGAAGGTTGTGGAAACATTGCCTGAAGATATGAGACCAGGCCCTAATCCTTATGGCCTTCCGTGGGAGTTGGTGATATATGCAGCTATTGGATTTTTAGCTATTCTCTTGTTTTTGTGGAGAAGTTTTAAATCTGTAAGTAAGCAGTATATACTAAGAGAAAACGTTCATTCTGACTAGAGTCTGAACAAGTAGTATGAGAAACATTTGCTTTTTAAGTAAACAGGCTACTGTAGTTTGGTGGTAACACATGTTAATGTGTGGCTAACAGAAACTATGTATTCAGAGGAACTTTTTTTTGTATAAAAATTTTATTTTGTTTATTTAAAAAAAAACATTTATTTTTTTTAGTTGTAGGTGGACACAATGCCTTTATTTTATTTTTATGTGGTGCTGAGGATCGAACCCAGTGCCTCACACATGCTAGGCAAGTCCTCTACCTCTGAGCCACAACCCCAGCCTCATGTATAAAAATTTTAAAGAATTTCTTTATAGAAGTATTATACACTAATATTAAACCCCTACATTTATTTATTTATTCTTTTTCTCTCCCCACCTTCTCCAATATCTGTGAATGTATCATTTAACTTGGAATAAAAAACATTGTCGGGCTGGGGATGTGGCTCAAGTGTTAGCGTGCTTGCTTGGCATGCGTGTGGCCCGGGTTCGATCCTCAACACCACATACAAACAAAGATGTTGTGTCCGCCGCAAACTGAAAAATAAATATTAAAATTTCTCTCTCTCTCTGTCTTTAAAAAACAAAAACAAAACATTGTCATTTACATTTAGGTAATCCTGCCTCATTTCACTCCCTGCCTTTAAAAATTTTGGGGACATCATATTATATCCTTTAAAAGTATAGATTATAATTTTACTTGATATCATGCCATATGTCATCTTTTGAGCTTTGTTTTTGACCTTATGTTGTTAAAATACATCCATATTTTGAATGTTAAGATTCATCATACCATGCTGCGTGCAGTGGTGCATGCCTGTATTCCCAGCAACTCCAGAGTCTGAGGCAGAAGGATTGAAGTTCATGGCCAGCCTCAGCAACTTAGTGAGACCCTGTCTCAAAATTCAAAGGGCTGGGGATGTAGCTCAGTGGTAAGTGCTCCTGGTTTCCATCCCCAGTACAAAAAAAAAAAAAAAAAAAAAAAGATTCACTATTATTTACTATTTCTGTAGAATATCACATTATAAAAAATATATTATAGTTTTGGGCTGGGGTTGTGGCTTAACGGTAGAGCGCTTGCCTAGCATGTGTGAGGCCCTGTGTGAGGCCCTGGGTTCGACCCTCAGCACCACATAAAAATAAAAAAAGGTATTGTGTACAACTATAACTAAGAAATAAATATTAAAAAAATATATACATATATATATTATAGTTTTATCTGTACTTTTATGGCCCTGGACATTTGGGTTATTTCCCAGGCTTTTTCTATTATAAACAGTACTGCTGTGTTTATTATTAATTCACATCTCTTGTTATATATTTGTAAGAGTTTTCTTGGGAATATATGTAAGTGTGAGATTATTAGATTATAAAGCATATGGAAGTTTTACTTTTAAAAGGTAATGTCAAATTCTTTTCTACATTATCTGTATTGCTTTATACTTCTCCCAGCGCTATATAAGAAACCCTACAGATCCATTTGATCCATGTTCTCTCCAACACTTACTGTTGTAGTTCTTGATTTTTATCATTTGAGTGGCTATAAAATGGATCTTATCATGGCCTTGATTTGAATTTCCTCACGATCTCTTCCAGTACATTTATTAGCCATATATATTTGTTGTTCTTGAAAATCTTTGTCTTTTGCCAAGATTTTTTTGAGTAGTTTATTTTTTCCTATTTCATTATATAGTGGTCTTTTTTTTTTTTTTAAGTTTGTTTTTGGTTATTTACTCACATGTGCCTGTAACAAAGCAGGAATAACTGTTGTGTATCTTTATTTACTTATTTGTGGTGCTAGGGATTGAACCTAGGGCTTCTTGAATGTCAGGCAGACACTCTACTACTGAGCCACATCCCCAGCCTTCATTATATATTTTTGTTGCTATCTTTATTATGTGTATTGCAAATGTCCCAGTATGAAATATCTTTTCCTTTTCTTTTAATTTTTTTATGATATACAGAAATTCTCACTTTTGAATGTGAGAAAATTCTCACATTCTCAGTTTTGCTTTTAATACTGAAATCCTTGATCTATCTTTTTTTTGTTTGTTTGTTTGGGGGTACCGGGGATTGAACTCAGGGGCACTTGGCTACTGAGCCACATCCCTATCCCTATTTTGTGATTTTTACTTAGAGACAGGATCTCACTGAGTTGCTTTGCACCTTGCTTTTGCTGAGGCTGAGGCTAGCTTTGAACTTGAAATCCTCCTGCCTCAGTGTTCTGAGCTACTAGGATTACAGGCATACTCATACTCCACTGCGCCTGGCCCTTGATCTGTCTTGAATTATTTTTTTAGGTTAGGGATTCAGTATGTCTGGTTCCACATATTAAAATTCATGTATATGAGAATCTTTAATGCATTCTATTCCATTGAATATTGTTGAAAGTAGATGCATGTACATCATTGTTTCCACACATTAGATTACGAGTGTTAATTGACTGATTGTATTGTTCATGAATTACATTTTTTTGTTTTTCTTTGTTTCCTACATTAATCAAAAATGAAGAAAAGTGTACTGCATTCCATTGTTATGATGGATTTATCACGTTCTGTTTTTCCGTTCATTCTTGTTTTGCATATTTTGAGGATATTTTGTTAGGTGTATACATGTTTAGAATTACTGTATCTTCTTAGTAAATTGAAACCTGGCAGTATCTAGTGACCTTCTATCACTCTAATGATACTTTTAAGACCTCTTATATTCAATGTTAAGAGAGCCATACTAACTTTGAGTGATAGTTGATATCTTTTCTCATCCTCATATTTTTCAGCCTTTCCATGGTCTCTATTTAATGTGTATTTTGTATATATATATTATTTAATCCTCTTTTTCACTGTTGAGTGTAGTTTATGTACACATATTATGATTATTGATTATGGATGCATTTGGAATTTCTTCCAGTTTAATTTATTAATGTGTTCTACTTTTTTTTTTTTTTTTTTTTTAAAGAGAGAGTGAGAGAGGAGAGAGAGAGAGAGAGACAGAATTTTAATGTTTTATTGTTTAGTTCTCGGCGGACACAACATCTTTGTTGGTATGTGGTGCTGAGGATCGAACCCGGGCCGCACGCATGCCAGGCGAGCGCGCTACCGCTTGAGCCACATCCCCAGCCCTGTTCTACTTTTTGTATGTTTCTTTTAAATTCTTTTCACTTTGATATGTAGATCTTTCTGCCTGGAAGACAAGAACCTCAGCACATTCTTATACCCAGGGTGTCCTTTTTTACTTTCCAATCTTTATCAGGTTGATATAATCTATGTTTTTATCCTGGATTTATAAGCAGTATCTCTCTCTCTCTCTCTCTCTCTCTGTCTGTCTGTCTGTCTCTCTCTCTCTCTCTCTCTCTCTCTCTCTCTCTCTTTCTTTCTCTCTCTCCCTCCCTCCCCATTTTTTGTTTTCAACTTTTTATTCACCTCTTTTCCATGATCAAGACAATGACAGATATTATAGTATATGATTACTGTTAATTGACATATTTTTTGCTGGGTCTAATAGAAATAATTTTTGTCATCTTTGAACACTTCTTTCAAGATGTGTTTTAATGTCTTTCTTTTTTTTTTTTTTTTCTGGTACTGGGGATTTAACCCAGGGGCAATTTACTACTGAGCTACATCCCCAGCCCTTTCTATTTATTATTTGGGACAGTATCTCACTAAGTTACTTAGGGCCTCACTAAGTTGCTGAGGCTGGTTTTGAACTTTCAATTCTCCTGCCTCAGCCTCTCAAGCTGCTGGGATTATAGGGCAGGCACCATTGTGCCCGGCCTGACTTCATATTTCTTAACTTCCATTTTTCTATTTTTTTATGGGATTCTGTTACTTTACTTTTTTTTTAAATTGTAGGTGGACAAGAATACCTTTTTATTTATTTATTTATTCTTTATGTGGTACTGAAGATTGAACCCAGTGCTTCACATGTGTTAGGTGAGCACTCCATCACTGAGCTATAACCCCAGTCTTGGGATTCGGTTACCTTTTGAGAAGGTTCTTCAATCTGATGTTTCATTCCCTAATTTCTTCATCTGTATCCATTCTGCCAAACCTTGTCTTTTAAATTGGCTCGTTTCATTTCATGTCTATACATGTTCTGTAGGTGACCTAAGTTCCTTTTTGTCTTTTCTACTTGGTTATGTTACCTCAGCCCTAAGAGTGCTGCTTTCTCATTATTCAAGAGAGAAAAAGCTTTTTCCAAAAGAAAAAAAAAAATTGGTTTGTGGTTTCTTTAATTAATTTTATTTTGTAGCATTTTTTTTTCCCATTGGAAGTAGAACTCTTTTAGCTAACTCATGTTTATAGTAAGGCAAGAAAACTGTTATTTTTAAGTTGGTAGTAGAAATTAAATATATTAGATTTACTTGAATGTATGCTTGTTTTAATGTGATTTTTGTTAAAAATTTGTTTCAGGTTAGAAGCCGGCTTTACATAGGTAAGCTAATTTTTCTATTTTAGATCCCATCATTTGTTGAGTATAATTTAAAAACTTATAATAAATAATTCATTCATAATAATATTGACCTTTATTTTTTTGTTTTTTTTTTTTAAAGGAAGAGAAAAAAAGCTTGCTCTAAAACTTTCTGGACTAATTAAAGAAAAATGTGAACTACTTGAAAAAGTTAGCCTTGTTCAAAAAGAGGTAAGACATTTTTGGAAAATAACATTTATGTTAGAGTCATAGTACTGACTTTCTTTTTTGATACTGGGGACTGAACTTAGGGGTGCTTTACTGTTGAACCACAACCTTAGTCCTTTTTATTTTGAGACAGGTTCTTGATAATTTGCTGGCTTTGAACTTGCAATCCTCCTGCTTCAGCCTACTAAATCACTGGGATTATAGGCATGTGCCACTCATGAAGCTTTCTGTTTTTCAGTGTATTTACTTCTATGTAAATTTAAGATTAGTAATGCTCTATTTGCAAAGTATGAGAATTCTGTTGTTCCTCAACTTTAGTGCTTAACCCATCATATTAATTTTGGCCATTATATTAGGTGTGTAGTGTTTTCTTATTGTTGATTGAATTTGTATTTCTCTGCCTAATGAGAGAGAGTGCATTTTTATATATATATTTTTTTTTTTTGGCCATTTTGATATTCTTTTTGTGAATTTGTCTTCAGGTCTTTTTCATGTTTTAAAAGGAATTGTTGTCTTTATCCTTTTTTTTTATGTAGGAGTTTTTCTATATCTCAGATACAAGTTCTTTGTTAGATATATGAACTGCAAATATCTTCTTCCACTCTCGCTTACCTTATTTCAAATGTGCCTTGGAAAGCAGAAATTCTTAATTAGTATAAACTAATTTGTCGGTTATTTATTTGTGATAACTGCGTTTTGTTTCCTGATGAAAGAAATTTTTGTCTACCTAAGGGTATAAAGATACTTTTTTGGTGTTATCTTTTAGAAACTTAATGGTTTTTCTTTTTTTTTTTGTCTTTGTATTAGTTTGTTAGGGCTACTGTCATAAAATATCACAGACTTAGGGGCTTAAATAGCAGAAATTTATTTTCTCACAGATCTGGAGATAGGAATCCAAGTTTAAGGTATTGACTCATTTGATGTCTTTTGTGACCTCTCCCTGGCTTGTAGATGACTGCCTTCTTGCTGTATCTTTATGTGGAATGGGCATACACATATTTCTGGCATCTCTGCATCCAATGGTCTTTTCTTATAAGGACACCATTCGTATTGGATGAGGACCCATTCCAACAGCTTCATTTTAACTTAATCACAATTTTAAAGGCTCTGTCTCCAAAAATGAAGTTATATTCAAAGTACTGTGGATTCGAGTTTCAACATAGGAATTTGTGGAGGACACAATGCAGCCCATAACAGTTTTTTTTTTTTTTGGATACTGTGAATTGAACTCAGGGGTACTTGACCACTGAGTTACATCCCCAGCCGCATTTTGTATTTTATTTAGAGACAGGGTCTCACCAAGTTGCTTAGCGCCTTGCTGTTGCTGAGGCTGGCTTTGAACTGGTAATCCTCTTGCCACAGTGCCTGAGCCACTGGGATTATGGGTGTGCATCACCACAGCCAGCCTATAACAGTTTTTAATCCATCTAGAATTGAATCCATGATGATGTAATTGGAAGAATATGTCAATAGTAAATTTTTATATGGATATCACAGTAATTATTGACATTTATTTATTGATTTTTAAAATATTTTTTAGTTGTAAATGGATCTTTTATTTATTTATTTATGTATTTATTTATTTATATGTGGTACTGAGGATCGAACCCAGGGCCTCACACATGCCAGGCAAGTGCTCTACCATTGAGCCACAACTCCAGCCATAATTATTGACATTTATTGAAAAGACTTTTTTCTATTGTTTATAATGTCATCTTAAATCAAGTGACTGAATATTTGTGAGATTGTTTCTATAATATCTTATGTTCTGTTGGTTTTTTTAAAAACTTTTATACCAATACTATACTTTTTTGATTACTATAATTTTATAACCAGCCTTGTTATCAGACAAGGTAAACCTACAAGTTTGTTGTTCTTCAGAATTGTCTTGGCTCTCATGACAGTCTTTCTATATACATTTAAAATCATTCATGTGCGTGTATACACACACACACACACATGCATGCATGCACTCAACCTGCTAAGAGTTTGGATTCTGTTGGGTGTATAGATCAATTTTTAGAAAGAATTGACATTTTTATAATGTTGAGTTCTTATCCCTGGTGGTACACTCTTCTATTTATTATGTCTTTTAAAATTCTCTCAGCTGGGTGTGGTGGCACATGCCCAATTCCAACAGCTTGAGAGGATAAGGCAGGAGGATTGCAAGTTTGAGGTTAGCCTTAGTAATAGGAATTAGGAAGGCCCTAAGCAACTTAGCAAGACCCTGTCACAAAATACAAGATAAAAAGGTCTGGGGATATAGCTCAGTGATAAAACACCCCTGGGTTCAATTCCTAGTACCCCCACCCCCCAAAAAATTGTTTTACAAATTTTTGATTTATGGTCTTGAACATCTTTTCTTATATTTATTCCCAGGTATTCTTTTTTTTTTTTAAACAGCTTTATTGGGATACAATTACATAACATAAAATTCACCCATTTAAAGAATATAAATGAATGGCTTTTAGTATATTCACAGAGTTGTGCATTCATCATAGCAATCAACTTTCAAACATTTTTGTTACCCCCAAAAGAAACTATGAGCCCTTTAGTTATCACTCTTCACTCAGTCTGTCCCATGCCAAAGTCATGGATAATTTCTATTTCTATAGATTGGCCTATTCTGGACATGTAAGTGGAATTATATAACATATGGTTCTTCGTGATTTTCTCTTAGAATGATGTTAAATACAGATGCAACAATTCAACTCCTAAGTGTATACCCAAAGGAAATGTTTCATTCATATTATAGCATGCATCAGAATTAATATATTTTTTGTCAGATATTCATACCACAATTTATATATCCATTTGTCAATTGATGAACATTTAGGGTTATTTCCACTTTTGGTGTTATAAATAGTAATGCTTACTATATTCATGTACAAGTTTTTGTGTGAACGTACAAAAGAATTACCAGTTTTTCACAGTGGCTGTACCACTTTACATTCCCATCAGTAGTTTGTGAGTTTTTTGACTTTTGTATACCTTTCCCAATACTTGTTGTTGTATTTTTTTTATTACAGTTCTACTGGGTATTAATTGATATCTCATTGTGGTTTCGATTTGCATTTCCCTGATGGCTAATGATGCTCCCTGATGGCTAATAATCATCTTATTATAGTTTATTGGCCATTTGTGTATGTTTTCTAGAGAAAATTTTGTTCACTTCTTTGCCTGGTTTTTAATTGGGTTGTCTATTAAAGTTCTATCTTTATGTATTCTGGATATAAAGCTTATCAGCTACATGATTAACAAATATTTTCTCTCTTTTGAGTTGTTTCCTCACTTTCTTAATGTTGGTATACTATGAAGCATAAAAGTTAAAATTTGATGATGCTCATTTGATCTTTTTTTTTTTCCTTTTCTGTGCTTTTGGTAGAAGGTATATGTAATGACTGCTTAATACAGGATCACAAGACTTAAACTTGTTTCCTTCTAGAAGTTTTATAGACTTCTTATGTTTTAAGTCTGATCCATTTTGAATTGATGTTTATATATAGTGTGAGGTTTTGTATGTTGATTTTATATTCTACCACTTCATTGAATTCATTTATTAGAAACTATAGTTTTTTGGTGGAGTTTTTGGAATTTTTCTACAGGTATGATCATGTCATCTGCAAATAGAGATAATTCTATGTCTTCTCATCTAATTTAGGTAACTTTTATATCTTTTTTTTTTGTTGTTGTTGTTCAAGTGTGTTTGGTAGAACTCTTCTAGGTCTGTTGACTGAAAGTGGTGAGAGTGGATATCCTTGCCTTGTACCTAGGATCTTAGAGGAAAAGTTTCAGTTTTTCCTGATTATGTTAGCTGTGAGTTTTTCATAAATGGCCTTTATTATGTTAAGGAACTTTCCTTCTATAATTAACTGTTAAAGAGTTTTTTCAAGAAAGAATTTTGTATGGGCTGGGGCTGTAGCTCAGTGGCAGAGCACTTGCCTAGCATTTGTGAGGTACTGGGTTCGACCCTTAACACCACATAAGAATAAAAACAAATAAAATAAAGGCATTCTGTCCATCAACAACTACAAATTTTTTTTTAAAGACAAGATATTGTACTATGTCAAAAGCTTTTCTCTGTCAGTTGTTATCATCATGTAATTGTCCTTCAGTATGTTAAGATGATGCATCACATTGATTGATTTACATATGTTAAACTAGCCTTGCATGCTGGGGATAAATCCTACAAGATCATGATGTATAGTCTTTTTTTTTTTTTTTTTTAAAGTATTGGGAATTGAACCCAGCAGTGCTTTACACTGAGCTATATCCCAGCCCTTTTTTAAAATTTTGAGATAGGGTCTCCTAAGTTGCCAGGCTGTCCTTGAACTTGGAATCCTTCTATCTTAGCTTCCCAAACGAATAATGTATAAGTTTTTTGATGAGTTGTATTTTACTGAGGACTTTTGCTTTAAAGCTTATTTATTTTTTGTAATTTTTTTTCACATTAATGTTTAACAGAAATATTGATCTGCAGTTTTCTTTTTCTTTTGGTGTCTTATCTTGCTTAGGTATCAAGGTGATGCTGGCTTCTTAAAATGTGTTAGAAAGTATTCCCTCTAACTCTGTGTCTGAGAAGAGTTGAAGTATTGGTCTTAATTCTTTGTTTGAAAATTTGTTTGAATTCTGCCACAAAGCAGCCTGGTCCAGGACTTCTCTTAGATGGGAGATCAGATTACTTTAATAACAGATTGAGATATGTAGGAGCTATATCTCAGTTCAAAAGATTAGTCTGTTTCTGGTTTAAGCTTTAATAAGATAGTCAGTTTTAGCTGGGTGAAGGTGGTATATGCCTGTAATCTTAGTGACTTGGGAGCCAAGACAGGAGGATCACGAGTTCAAAACCAGCTTTAGCAACTTAGCGAGGCACTAAACAACTCAGGGAGATCATCTCTAAATAAAATATAAGAAATGGCTGGGGATGTGGTTTAGGAGTTAAGTGCCTCTGGGTTAAATCTCTGGTACCCAAACCAAACCAACCAACCAACCAAACAAACAAAAAAACCCAGTTTTGATTAGTATCAGTTTCCTAATAAATACCACTCTAACAAATTACTACAAACTTAGTGATGTAAAGCAACAAAAATTTTTTCTAATTCTGGAGGTCAGAACTATAAAACCCTTGTTGTGGGCTAAAATAAAGATTTAGCAAGTCTGTTTTCTTATGCAGGCTCCCAGAGATAATTTATTCCTTACTTCTTCCAGATTCTAGAGGCAATAGTGATTTCTTGGGCTCATAGCTGCATCACCCTGATCTCTGCTTCTATCTTTACATACTTCTAAAGATACTTGTTAGAGGGAATAATAGACATCTTATATAAAAATATACTTTTAAAATAAATCTTTGGATAATCTTCAGTACAACCTTGCCATTAGACTTTTCACCTCCTTTTTAGTTGTCTGCCCTCTTTGTTTTTGGTGCTAGGGATTGAAGCCAGGGCCCTCTGCATGTTAATAAGCACATGATCTACCAGTGAGCTACATATACCCTCAACCCCCTTGCCTCTTGCCTTGGATATATTGGGCTTATCAGAATATTACTGGTTACTCTCCTATCTCAAGATCCTTAACTTAATTGTACCTGGAAATACTGAGGATTAGTACTTAAACATCTTAGGAGAGGTTATTATTCAGTGAAGGACAGGGTCCTATCCTGACACCTGAGTTCCATGGCTCATCTTACTCAGCAGGTCCTGAATTCTGCATTTTATCTTCTCAGCTTCTGCTTTTCATGATCTCTTTGCTCAGTTTCCCACCTGTCAGCCTTTACTTTTTGGGGAAAAAGAATTGTCAAATGCTGAATTTGTCTTTCTGGGAATTCCCTCTTCTCTCATATTATTTTCACAGTTTTAAGTAGTCTTTGAAGCCATCAGACAGATCCTGTTTCTTTCTTTTCCAGTTCTTCTTAGCAGAAAGACTGATTTAAAATAGCCTAGTTTTCAATTTAATCTCTTTATAAAAAACAGTGAATAAGTGCACTTTGTCAGATTTTATAATATTGTATATTTTATTGTCCTTATTTTTCATTTATTCATGACAATTCTCTTATGTTCTAAAGATTTTGCATTCCCTACTTGCTTTATTTGTCTTATGCTATGAATTAAAAGTGAACATTTCTGATGGCCAGCTACTATAAATTTCTGTTTATTGAAAAGACCTATAAAAGAAGTATACTTGTTAGAGAGAATAATAGACATCTTATATAAAAATATACTTTTTGAATAAATCCTTGGATCATCTTCAGTACAACCTTGCCATTATACTTTTCACCTCTTTTTAAATAAAGAATGATCATATGAGTTACAGCCTTATGTTCTTTGAGAAGCAGACTTTGGACAGTTTTCCTAGTCTTTAAAATTTTTTTTGCAGTATAGGGGATTGAACCCAGGACCTCTTGCATGCTAGGCAAGTGCTCTACCACTAAACTTCATCCTGAGCCTTTCTTTCCTAGTCTTAAGGGCGAAGTTCTGCCATATATTGCCCAAGTGAATGATTTGTGATAACGTTAGCTGCCCTGGCTTTGTTTGTTACAGTGGTCAGATTTGAAGAACTTAAAAGCTGAGTAAATCCAAGTGAATTTAACATACGTGAGGAAATAGATACGGTCTGCTTCTTAGACATCTGTCTAGATAAAATCTGGTATAATATTTGTAGTTTTTACTTATGTGTTGCCTTGTTTCAGTATGAAGGCTTAGAGTCATCTTTAAAGGATGCCAGTTTTGAGAAGGAGTCAACAGAAGCACAAAGTTTGGAGGTAAAAAAGAAAAAGAAAAAGAAAATTTAAAACATTGGGGTAAAGGGTTCTTACTAAATAACCTGAACTTTAAAAATAATAGAGCTTCTCAAAACTTAAGTATTTCAAAGAAATGTGAATGAACATCTCTGAATGCCAAAGCTTAAAGAATTAAAAAAATTAGAGGTAGGTAGCATAAAATACTTTAAAAATTTGAGCCTTTGATGCTTAACTTGTTTTTAGTGAGGAATAGTCAGTTATTGGAATCTAGAACTGTACAGAAGTTTTTATTCTTCATTGCTAAGAAACACATTAAGGTAACTATTCCTACAAATTTAGGATTCATTGGAAATAATACATTATATAAATTGCCTTTACTTCATCCAGGATAGTAGAAGTTAACTAGAATTAGGCCAATGTAAGTAGTGGAGTACTAGTAAATGTTTAACGCTCTGAAGAGCGTTTACTGAGTTTTATGTATAAATATTCCCACTGTGGCCAATTTTAGGCTATCAATATGATCTCACTGAATAACACGTTTTGAAGAGATTTATATAGTTGACTTTCCTGAGCCAGGTGTGATTCAGTTATTCATAAAGAAGGAAAATATGGTAATTTAGCTAAACTAGGACAGATTCAGGCCTTAATGCTGTTAGAGATGAAGGTGTTGTATTAAGTGAAGTAGTAGGGAAGGACAGTAGAGGAAGCCTGTTTCTGATAATGTAAAAGTAGAAAGCAGTAGACCTTGTACCTTTGACATATATGTTCAGTCCAGGTTGGCAGTTCTCAGTCACTAATGTCTATTCTTAGAAAGTTATATGTCATGATTCAGAATTTTCTTGTTAGAGCCACAATGAATTTATAAATTGAATTCCCAAATAAAACAAATTTCTTGGCTTTCTCTTTCTTCAGTTGTTACCTTTTAATATCTAATAACCACTGAAATTGTATTTTATTTGTTGACCCTGTTTTAAATTCTGTCCCAATAGTAATTTATTAGTTTGATAAATAAAAAGAATTTTAGAAGACTTTAAGCATGGTAACAGAACAAAAAATGGGTAGTAAAGACATTTACTTAAGTTAGATGATATTGTGAATAAAATAAAATATACCAATTTTTTTGTCAAGGCATGAATTTATATAACTTAGTAGTAAAATTTGTTGAATTTTTAGCTGAAAGAAATAAATTTTGGGAAATTTTCTCAAATTTAGTATTTTTTTTTATTTGGTGGTGATGGGGGGATTGAACCTAGGGTCTTGTGCATGCAAGGCAAGCACTCTACCAATTGAGCTATCTCCCCAACCCCTCAAATTTAGTAATTTTTTAAATAAGTATTTTTCAGGAGTAGCCATCATAATTGAGTACATACTATATATAATGTGATATAATTTGTGGAAAGTTTGATGATTATAGATAAAAATCAAACAAATAAAGTAATTTTGATTCAAGTTAGATTTCCTATAATAAAATTGTCAAATTGGGTAAATATATAAAACAAGTTTTTTTTTTTTTTAGAGAGTG